TATTTGAATATCTCCTGTTTACCCTACAGCAAGAGCTAATTATCAAAAGCGGCCCAGCACAAAATTATTTATGTGTGTGCTATGTTGTGCATCCAGTTGGGCGTCATATTTTAGTTCTGGGTGTGTTACCATTCTCACATAATGCCTTTGGGGACTGCAGAGGGCCAGACATTTAAGTTAAGTGCAAATTTAAGTTAGTTACAAAACACATTTATGGGGTAAACCTGGCTGATATCTATATTCAAGTCACTCTTCAAAGGCATTCATGGTGTTGGGCAAATTAAAAGTGACAGAGGTGGCTGTGTGAAGAATGGAAATGAGCACTTAAGAGATTAGTTTCGTCTGCAGGGATGAAATCTACACAATTACACTACTAAAACTGCTTTTGCCTTACAAACCATCTTTTTTACTACTGCTTCAACTTTAGAAATGACTGTCCTATTTTTCATTTCGCTTGGTAGATGGGTGTAGTATGAAAAGGATAACGCCATTTATTTGGAGCAGATATACGTCATTGTTCACTTTGGTAGTTTTTGACATTCTAATATAGGATGGGATTCCACACTGTACATGACTCCCATCTCACAGGAAGAAATGGCGGCTAGCACTTATTGTGCTAACACCGCTAACAGTCCAAACAAGGAGAATCAACATGACAACTTTACCGTGTTTAACTGGGGGGGAACCTGGGGGTCGACGTCCTGACCCTCACCCCAGTATGAGCGCAGTATAGTGAATATTAGCTAGCCAGTGGGGTCAGTTCAAGAACAGCCTTCAATTGTGCAAATAGACGTTTGTCGTAAAAATGTACAATATATGCAACCTAAAACATTGTCATATTTGAACACTATTTGAAAGAAGTAATGGTGCTTCAAGCTGATGCCTTATTCTGATTCCCTAGTTTCTCAGGAACCCAAGTTAACAATATAAGCAGCGAAGACTCGCTTTACATGGACAGAACAAACACATCACTTAAAACAAAGTTAGGAAATCAGCATCGATGACTGCATGGAAGTAGGCAACATCACCAGCTCCCTGGAAAGCTGCTGCTCGCACCACAGCTGGCTGTGTTGCGTCACCGTGGTTTCAACCCTCCAGAGGGTTACCAAACAACTCACTGAATCTGTGTGTGTGTGTGTGTGTGTGTGTGTGTGTGTGTGTGTGTGTGTGTGTGTGTGTGTGTGTGTGTGTGTGTGTGTGTGTGTGTGTGTGTGTGTGTGTGTGTGTGTGTGTGTGTGTGTGTGTGTGTGTGTGTGTGTGTGTGCGTGTGCGTGTGCGTGTGCGTGTGTGGAGCCAGCCGGTGGGTGATGAAATGAGAGATGATTAGAAATGAAAAGATAACTGCAAATGAAGTGACTGAGTGTTGATTGAATGAGTAAATGGCTGAATGTGTGAATCTTGCTCTTGTTAGGTTTCTCTGTTCTTTTAGTGTCCCATCATTGCATATTCAACTAATGATTATCATTTATTATCTTAAATAGATGGAACAATAATAGATGGATCTTCAAAATCAAATAGCATTGGGAACCTACTGGGATGTCTGCATGACTTTATAGTCTTAGCAAGTGAATAAACAACATCGCTGTTGAAAATGTAGTTTATTCTGGTATTTTTTTCTCTTTCTTTCTGCATATTATGTGTTTGATAAGTGGTCAATATGGTGCTAAGGGGTGGTAACACTTTCAAAGCCCCCAAAATGGTCCCATTAAGAGCCATCATGTCATCATCCAAAAAATAAGACACTGACCCCCACCTCTCAGTTTGTTACAAGTTATTGATAATAAGTGCAACATTATATAATTTCAGTTTAAAGAGCTTCCAATTGATTGGAGAGGAGCAAGTCCTTGCAAGTCAGCAAGTTAACCACCGTGAACTTGTTTAAGATGTGACATTGTACACTTCCAGAACTTTTAGCTGCCTATGGAATCAGGTGTGAATCTGTAGAACACACTGTTCTGTTTTGTAGTTTCCACATGACAAGGCTCTGTTGTAGAGGGCGGATAAAGAACCACGTTGTGTTAAGCCAGGTCTCTAGGGAGTCTTAGGACCAGGCCAGCAGATGTACATAATGGTCAGAAAATGCTATGTATTTCCAAACAGTAAAATACTGTATTTGAGCAAAGGAACTTGAACTTTATTGAAAATGTATCACATCTTATAAAAGGTAAACATCTGTAACACTGATCTAACATTTTTGAAACATCAGCAAATGTAGACTGTTAGGTGCTAAGAGGGCTGATCGATGTTGGCAACGCTCACTCAGCATTTCCAGAAGCCTTTGCTCATGCTGTAACTGAGACAAGACAAAAGGGGGGAGGCAGGTTGAAGAGTAGTAAGTGTGTTGATAATAGTCTCCTCGATATTGATGTCCATTAGATAAGTATACAGCACCCTGAGCCTCTCAATCCCCCACCGTGCAGATTTGCGCGCATATACACATATCATCCGATCCCTTTCGCTTCCCACAGCGATGAATCTAAGATTCCCAGCATTTAGCATTGATTATTAATGGAAGGTTTGCAATGAAAAGGGGGGCAGAAACTGAGCTGCTCTTTATGCACACTGGCTTTAAGAGAAACCAGGGGGTTCATGGCCAGTCTCTTCCCAGAAACCCTTCTGATGGAAAGTGCAGGGCTTACGTAAGGAATTTCTGCTCAGTGTTGTGCTGTCTGAGGGCCACGGCAACTTTTGAGGACAATGACTATGCCTTTTTTTCCCCCAGAAATGGAGTCTTAACATTGGTCTTAGCAGCTATAAGGGACACTGAGTGATGGGATGTACCTTAAGAGCACAGGGGGAATGGATTTGTGGTTGTGTGTTACAGTGCGCACCAGAACTACAATTCAAGCCTCATCATATTATGTAATATTTTCTTAATATTTTACATCGATACAAATGTTAAGGTCATCAAACATATCATTGGGTGGTTGAAACATAATGGAAACTACATAAGCAAGAGAATGTCAAAAGTAACACTGCCTCTCATTGTTTTGGGTGTAAAAAACAATTCTCATTCCAAAACTCGCCTTGTGTGTGGGAAGTCAAAATAGTTTACATGAAAAAAAATAGCTACAAATCTAAAATTCTTTGTGGTTTTGACTAGTGAAAACAAAAGGGCAGGTGAGATCGTACCATTAAAACAAAAGGCTAATGCTTTCAACTGTTGTTTTGCTAAATCATCCAGGAGTCAGCCCTTAAGGGAGCACTACTGCTATTAACACCTATCTGTCTTTATCCCATCACGTACAACAATAGCCTTAAACTGGTACGTGATAGAGATCCAGATGCTATTTGGTAGTTTAATCGAAAACTGAGTCATGAGACATGTTTTCCCCCGGTTCGTTTTTTTGTACTCATCTTCCTCTGCCCTCTTCTTTCCCTGCGGACCTAAATGTGCGTCAGTAAGTTGCTGAGCGCACCGTCCCGACCTGCTATCACTTTATCAGCTCCTGTCTCTATTCGTCTTTTAAAAAATATCAAAGAGGAGAAGTCACACATTGGTATTTAGATATTTTCTTTGACTTTGCGAGATTTGTTGTCCATGGATAGTCTTAAAATGTAGTTTCAGAGGCTTTTCTATCCTGCCCAAAGTAGAATTCAGCATGAAACACTCCTTGTGCATTCAAGATGAACAACTTAGAACTCATCTATTCATTATTTGCTCTGTGCCAGATTGCTGAGTCACATGGAGCTTATTTGAGGCAGAGGTTTCTGTGTTTAGCAGGCATACGTTTGCGAGCAGATGAGGATGTGGGCTTTCTCCCGTTGGGTCTTCCGTGTCCCTTGACTGACTCAAACCTAGTGAGCAAACATATCCACATGCCTGTGTCTTCTCCACAGCCTGAGGGAATGTAATAATGCCTTAGCTAATGCGATTAACATGAACAATTCCACAGGGGGAATCGCTGCACATCTGCAGCGGACAGATAATCATTTCGCCTCAGATGTTTGTTTCTTTTTTTGTTTCTGTTTTGCCGCCTCTTATGTCTTTGGAAGACCATCTGTGTTTTTTACTGTGGACTTGGATAGACAACATTGCAGTGTGATTTTTCTGTAGCAAACACGGGTGAATGCTCTCCTTGTCTCAAGGGCAAGCTTTGTATGATGTTAGGCTCTGATGATTGTTTTTTTGAGTTATGCCAAGGATGCAACAATGCAATTCACTGTTCCATATTGTTTTAATTATTAAGGTCAAAGCAATGTATTATTTTTGTATGTATCAGGTCTGAATTGCTTGACAAAGGCAGTGAATAAATGATACAGAAAAATAAACTATGAGCCAAGCGCTTCCTAGATTCCAAAGAAGGACAGATGAAACAACCAATGTATTTTTGTAATGCTTTTTGCATTACGTCAATGATTAGAGAGCCGTCCACTGAGAGAAGAATCAGCCACTTCCCACAACTATGTATTTCTCCAGGAATAGAGGGCCCACCATATTTGTATTTTAGGCTTCTACTCTGACATTTTGAAATGCTTCAATGCTCAAAAAGTGCTTTATTGTTCTCATACTGCCTGTGCTGCACAAGGCTTTTCACCCTCCGTCTGAAACCAGAGCCCAGTCTGCTCTGATTGGTCAACTGGTTAGATTTGTTCCATCCCTTACAATGTGTTTGGCAGTAGCCAATAGAAGTCACTATTTTATGGAAGTTAAAGAATGATTCAAATGGAAGAGTTTCAGGAAGGGGGGAGTGTGTCAGAAACTCCCTCTGGGGGTAACTTTAGCGTTTTTAGGATTTTAGCCTTTGTAAACCATTGACATGCACACTCTTTTGGTAATTGATTTTATTTGTATAACTGGAATATGGCCGCCAATTATTCAAGCTATTTGTTCTGTCTTGAAATACATAAATCATTCTGTAAATAATGTGAAGGAGCTACGCTCTCAATTAAGGGGACTCCAGCTAGGAATGGCTGAGGTACAACACACTACAAAAAAGGGCAACCCCCCCCCAAAAGCATAAAGGGCCCCCTTTAACTTTTTCTCTGTCTCATTGCAGGTTGGGATTCTCTACTTCCAGCCAAGTGTTTTCCGCTGCATCCTGCTGCGATGGGTCCGCCTGCTGGGTTTTGCTACCGTCTACGGGACACTGACTCTTAAGTTGTACAGGTAACACACTTCCATTACACACACATCTACACAAAACCATTTGTCCAACGTCGTTATCCATCCCAGGAAATTGGATTACATTGACCTCTTTAAGTGCAATTACATTGTTTCTTAACTCCTTATAAAAGGACTTATGAAGTGTCGAGGCAGCATGTTCCTCGTCTAATTCATCACCGGACTACACTGCTGCACATGTTTATGGGGAGGATTCACTGCCTCATTAGGTGGAAGAGGGAAATGCCAAGCAAAAGTAATTAAGAAGACATGGGGTGCTGTGGCCCCAAATGATCTCATATATAACGCAGAACTGAATGATAGTTGGCAAGAGACAAATGGAGAAACACATGTGTGTGAGATCAGAGGAAGGGAAACCACAGCTGGAGGAGGGAGAGACAAGAGAGTGGGTATTCAGCACTGATAGTTGATAATGAGACAGGGGGTCCGCTGTATTTAAAGTAAAGCACTTGAAATCGTTCATCTGAGGGGTTTTTGTCAGGTGATCTGTCAAAAAAAAAGGCTAATGAAGATGCGGATTAAAAGGATGTGGCTAATGCGAGCCCAGTAAATCCTTAGAGGTGCGAGTTAACATATTGCACAGATCAATTTTTTATGGGGGGCTCATTAGTGGTGAGTGCAGTGGACACTTCATCAATGTGTGTGAAGGGCACAGCCTAAGAATAGCAATGGCTGGTCATGTGTTCAGCACAGTTTAATTCAGAGTCACAGTCCTTGTGTTTGTCTGCAGATTTAAATCTCCATACTGTTGTGTAGAAATTCCCCTGCTCCCCTGTTGTGTTATATCAAACCATGTGTGGGCTTATTTTTCCATTGTTAAGGTCTAGTTAAATATATACATTTGACATAAGGTTATTAAGATATTTCCATTTACCTCTTTTCACCATCTGTCAAGGGCCCAGTCAGCTCTGATTGGTTAACTGGCCTGCTCTGTTGTGATTGGTCAACCGCTAAGCAATGTCCATCCCCTAAGAATATAGTGATGTCACTATGTTACAGATGTAAACAAAAGATTCCAATCGAGGCTTTTCAGGCAGGGGGGAGTGTCTGTGGAAAATAAACTCCCTCTGCGTGAATTTGGAAATACTGGAAAGGGAAAACTCCAAAGTCATAATAGGGCCCATTTAATACAATCACCCATACTGTATGAGGTTTGCCTAATCTGCTAGCCATTTGCCAGATACTATTAGCTATTTCAATAGAATCCTGATCAACATTGTTAAATATAGTTCCTTTGCCAGCGTCATTATAATTATATTAGTTTTTGAGCCTTCTCTTCTAGTGTAAATTAAAGAAGACAATTTGAAATTACGCTAGCTAACCTTTTTTTTGCACCAAATTAATTCCAAACCTTGTGTTATCTTACATATAAATTATTACCCGCGATAGTTGTAAAAAAAAATGATTGACTATTTTTTTCCTCATCCTTCAGAAGTCGTTTAGTCTTGAGACACATGTCGTTGATAGTAAAGCCACAAGAAGTCCTGTCATTTTAAGTTTTGGAGCAAAAGAAAAAATGACCGTCTCTTTGGTTTCAAGCTCTTGCAAAAAAATTACAGGGGTTTCTCTTTGCTAGAGATAAGGCATTTTACATGTTCAACAACTGTATGATGAGATGTTTCATATACAGTAAAAACCCTGATATACAGTACAGTAACCACAGTAGGATGACACAAGAAAATAAAATGTGCCTTTCAGAAAGTTGTGTCATTCTGCCTATCCTATGATTCTTTCATAATGTAAATGTTATTTTGTTGCAATGTTCTTAAAGTGAGCATCTCATCACCCCCCCCCCTCCCTTAGGGTGTTGAAGGTGTTCCTGTCCCGTACTGCTCAGAGGATCCCCTACATGACTAGCTGGCGAGTGTTGCGTCTGCTGGGCATCATCCTACTCATCGTCTGCTGGTTCCTGGTGGCTTGGACATCTGCTGTCTGTCAGAACCCGGACAGGAAGTTGGCTCTCATCGACGTGGGCTACACGCCCGATGGGCTGCAGTTCAGCATGTGCCTGCTGGATCGTTGGGACTACATGATGGCTGTCGGTAAGCCCTGCTACTGACCTCTGCCTCCACAGGGTGATGTACATTGATTTATGGAACACTGAACTCTGTGTGTTAGGGGCAAAGTGAGAAGACAAGGGTTATTCGCGGGATTCATGGCATAAAATCAGGAGGCAATTTGTTTGTTGTGATAGCATTTGGAGGTCAAAGAAAGTCAGAGGTGGGAAGTAGTGGAGTACTGTACTTAAGTACCTTTTTCTGGTAGCAGTACTTTACCCCACTACTTGTTTGTCTGATGGCTTTTTACTTTTACTTCTTACATTTTTAACAAATACCTGTACTTTTACTTCTTACATTTTCAAAACAGGCTCGTTACTTTTGTTTTAATCTGCGTTTGGTGACGTGATCATTATTATTTAGATTCATTGCGTGCGAATGAGAACGTTGTAATTTTGCCGTTGTTCTGCATCAAAACATTCATTAGCTAACAATTACATTATTGTTGTATTAATATAAAGTGAGGTCAGTTACTCTATAAAACAGATGTTAGTTATGGGTACTTTTTACTTAAAGTGGACCTATTATGCTATATTTGAAAAATATATTGTCGGGCCATACCTATACAAAACATGTCTGAAGTTTTTCGCTTAAAATACCAAACAGATCACCCATGGTAGCCATGCCTCATACTGCTCATACCCCTCTATTACAGCCCTGTTCCAAAGAGGCTGATTCTGCTTTAAATGGAACGGCTACTGCTAGCCACGCCCCTTTGTAGCGTCATGCAGCTTTCCCCTGCTAAGAGAGTTTTCTACCGGGAGAAACTCAGCTAAACGCTGTGCTGATTAAATGCCATATCCCATATTATGCTCCCAACCACTTCAAGCATTATTTCTGAAACAGTATGGAGCTCAAACCTTTCTCTCTCGCAGGGTTTACCACAAGGATATTACGTTACACATATTCTCTCCAGTAGCAGCCTACAGCGTTAGCTCTGAGTGTTAGCATGCTTGCTAATGTAAACACAGAGCATATTACTCCCAAAACACGCCGCAAATTGTTTCTGATACAGCACATAGCTTGACATGCGCCTTATGCCATTATATCAGCGACGTGCAGTCCCCTGTCATACTCCAATGTAACGGAAAAACAACTAAAGAAAAACTAAATAGTAATAATAATAAAATTGTGAAGTTAAACTTCTGTTGTTGCAATGTTGAGGTAGAATGAAGGAGTCTGGAAACGTTGTTAGCCAAAGCACTGAGAGTTTTATTGAACACAGTACAGACAAATACGGCCGGGAGATCATCTTAGTTTCCCACCGTCCCGTGGTCCACCGTGATCATCTCTGGCCCAAAAGCCACAAAACATCTAGCAACACGAGGAGAGGCGGGCCCACAGAAGCCCGCGTTTACCTAATCAATAGCAAATGGGAGACAATAATCTCCTTGTCTCAAAGAGATGCAGCCAGGTCTCAACCCTCCCCCACGGATATAGGAGAAGCGTTTGACCTGTGACCTCAACCTACAGAGGAGTCTTTGACTGATACTACAAACACATGTTTGCAGTATCACAGATTCTAAGAAACTATAAGAAACTCTATAAACAGATCAGATTAAAATATTCTCTTACAAAAATGTCTCCACTGATCTGTGTTGTAAATGTGATTTATGTATGATTCCAATCGCTTTTTATAGTCAAAATCAGCAAATTTGCCGAGCTCCGCTACAACTACGGGTAGCGATGAGGAGCTCTGCCTCTCGTAAGCCCACACTAATTTAACGCAGGCACTTATTTTGTGAGCGCGCTCAAGCCAGTTACTGTGGGGTGAGGTGAGGCACAGATGAGCTCTGCCTCACCTCAGAATGCGTCACCCCACAGAAACTGTCTGGAAAGCGGGCACTAAGCGCATGCCTGTTACCATCTCACTGTATGTCACCAATGTAATGTTTGTAGATCCCTTTATTACATTTATCCTCGCCATCCATAGTCTCTAAATAACTTATTTCACGTATATATGATATTTAGGCTCGCTGGTCTCATCATACAACGGCAATGAAAAAAGCACTAGGGGAGGCAGCCATAACCTCTGCCGCACTGAAGGGGGCGCAAGTGAGCCCACAGGTTCTTGTTGCTACTGTTATTCGACGCAGAGACGGTAGACGCAAACAACAAACTAGACTTTTGAAACTAGAGGAAGATAAGGAGGACTTTTACAAAAAAGTAATAGAGATTGTTGTCCAGAAGGATAGCATGGACTTCATCTTCAAGTCAAGGTAAGACCCCAATTGTAATGAAAATGGGATCTTACTAAGAAAGAACAATCCAATATTTAGATTTTGGGTATCCTTTTGTTGAACGGTCTGTTTAAAATGAATCGAAGCATCAGACTAAAAAAGCTTTTGAAAATAACCGAATATTTCGATTAAGGTCAAAATATAATATTTGTAAATCTGACTCTGAAAGAGTCAGTGCCTCACCAGCCATGAACCTCACCGCACGTCACTGCATTATATGTATTATATATAACAACTTTACTCTAAGTGCCTCCTGCAGACATCCTGCTGAATACACAGACACACAGCTGCGAGAGGGGATTCAGCTAGACACGACACAATAGGTTGGAACGTGTCACGTGTGCCGGAGATGATAGGTTGGGACGTGTCACGTCGGCCGGATGTCGCCAATGACGTAATAGGAGCAAACATTCTGGATCTGCTTGTTAGCACCCCCTTTTTTATTTTTTAGAGATGTGGGTATGGATGAAAAGAGAGAGGGTTTTGTTTTCTGACACTTTGTGAGTTCTCTGACACACCGGGGACACATTTATGTATAAAATACATCAAAAAGTGCATTTTGCATAATAGGTACCTGTGAAGCTGACCGTTGAGCGGCCCAGACCAAGCAAGGAGGCAGAGGCAGAACGTCCAAAATACAACCCGGTGTGGACATTTATTACATCATAAACATATGACACAGCCTCAATCTGCTGCCCACGTGAACACAGCCTCAATCTGCTGCCCACGTGAACACAGTCACCAGCCACCACAAGGATCTCACACACACTACTAGCCTCAAAACAGACAGGGCAACAGAGCCTAAATACACACATACACACACACACACACTAATCAGCAATTAGACACAGGTGGGGGGGAGGAGACAACACAGGGCACCAGGTGCACACAATCAGCAGTAACATGGGGAAAGGGGAGCACTTTTCAAAACAAAACCAGCAAACAGAGACAGACAAACTAAAACACAGACAGATGCACAAACTACACTTCGCCACCAACGAAGCTACACAATCCGTAACGGAGGCCGAGATCTATGGCCCCAGATATCACCTCCGTTACAGTCCCCTTTAAGTACATTTCGAAGCCCATACTTCTTTAATTTTACTTGAGTAAAGAAGTTTAGTCAGTACTTTACTTTTACCAGAGTAATTTTAAACACGAGTATCTGTACTTCTACTTGAGTAAAGGATGTATGTACTTTTGCCATCTCTGAAGAAAGTGAGGAAGATAGGTTGGGTGGGAAAAACAGTTTGTCTCCATTTACATTAGTGAAATTAGCTCATTTGTTTTCCAAAAGTAGACATTATTCCTCCAGACAGGGCTTCATTTTTGGACATATTCCTATTGGGCAGAGGGCAACCAGCAGCCTATAAAGGTAGCTGAGAAATCAAACAATCTCAGAGGGGGGGCAGCATCTTGCCTTGAGGAAATCTGCATGCTGTTTTACATCTGCTGACTCAGGCTTGAATGAGTAAGAACCATGGTTCTTTCTTACTTCAGGGAAAACAGATGGACCTCCAGCAGAGTCAACATGCTGTGATACTGTATACTGAATGCACATTTTCATTTGGATTATAAGTGGGTAAAAATAGGGAGGCGCGAGTCAGCTCTGACGTCACCTACATAGTGTAAGGCTCATAAATTGAAAACACACACAACACTCGCATGCAATACAATAAGAAAACGACCTTCATTCCAATCAGGATTTATTATTTAGCCAAAGCAATCATATATAAACTGCAGTTTCAGCATTACAGAGGTGTTTGTTAAATCTGGAATATTAGATAGCATTTAATTACATTTCTCTCAAATTCTTGCAGACTCTACAGCATTGTTTTATATGCACTGTGAAAGTTTCCTTTTGGTCAAGTTGTTTATTCTTTGTACAATAATGTCATAAGGCACCATTCATTAAGGCATGTTTCCCTTATTGGAAAAATGATAATGAAGGAGGAAAGAGAGATTTATTCTCTTTCTTTTAAAAATGCTGAATCTGTAACCCATATTGGCAGACGCACTGCAGATCTCCTTTCATTCAATTTAGATATTTAGATATTTTGTCCTTCTCATGCTGTCACAAATAACACATTCAATTTCATCTAATACTATCTATTGTTCCTGTTGTGAGGAATAATGTTTGTGTGAATCATTCCCAGTAGTTCAAGCACACAACACAATAAATGTGAAAACAATGGCAACAGGTTTTCATGGAAAAAGCTCTGTGTTTATTGCTGTGGAGTTTGCTACCTAGGTGACATTACATGGGGTTACCATGGAGGTGCATAGGGATTCATTTATTGTCCAGAGAATACATCCACAGCTGTTACAAATGAGTATGATAGCCTTTGTTAAACCGGACCTTTTCTTACCTATGTTGTACAACAGCTTGCCCTAGCTTGTTGTATGTTACTTTATTTTTGGGCCTACAAAGCCTGTCAAATGCATTAAATGTATTTTTTTAATGTGTTCACGACATATTTTTCTATCTTGCTTTACAGCTGAGTTCCTCTTCCTGCTGTGGGCAGTATATCTGTGTTACGCTGTGAGGACGGTGCCGTCTGCATTCCACGAACCTCGCTACATGGCCATCGCTGTTCACAACGAACTTGTCCTGACGGCAATATTCTATGTCATCAGGTGAGAATTCTTCCTCCCTGTCATTTAGATTTGCTTAGCAGATATATGTGGTGGCATGAATATAAGATATTCTTAAAAATCTTAAAATCTATCTCTATCTATCTAAAAAAACATTACATTCATTTGAATTCCTGGCACTATCTTTATATTCTGGTGCGGTAATCCCCGCCCCTCTGGGGATAAGAGGAAGATAAAACAACCATTATCACGAACAAAAGCCTCTTCATCAACATACAGATGCTGTCACTTACATTCACAACATGTTCCACATTTACTAGCTCCATATTTTATATTATAGTCTTTGATTGCCCTCCACTGCTGTCATTTTGACATTTATGTCCTCCAGTAGATTGTCTAATTTCCATCACATGCGGGCTACCGCTCGACCCCTCTGTTCATCTAGGATTTTGTTATCATTGTGGTGCAATCTCCCCCCTCACTCCAGTGTACACGTCAAATAGCTGCACCGTGCAGTTTATAAATTAGACGTTTTAGCTGACACCACCACAGCCAATCCTAGCTGGAGTCCCCCTAATTGAGAGCTTAGCTGTCACGATATTCATGTTATGTCACGTTTTTATGTCTAGGTTTGGGTGTTTTGCTGTTCTCCCTGTCATGTTTTCCTCCTGGTTTATTGTCTGGTCGTTTTCTCTGTGTTTTTCCTCCTGTCGTTAGTTTCCCTGGTGTGTCTAGTTGTCTGATTGTGTTCACCTGTGGCCCTTGTGTTTCTTCTCCCCTGCCCGGCTGTTTCTCGTCTTGTGATTACCCCTCCCTGTATTTAGTCTCTTCCTGTGTTCAGTGTTGGTTTGTCTTTTGTTTGTGACCGAGTTCACCGTGGAGTGTTTTGTTTGTCCATGTTATATGTTATATGTTAAGATAAGAGCCCTTGAAATAAAGGTATTATCAGTGTTATCTGAGTTTGGGTCCTACCTGCTTCACTCCTTGTATCATTAGCTCCATCACATTATTCACTAATGAACCATTTCAGAATGATTTATGTATTTCAAGACAGAATAAATAGCTTCAATTATTGTCAGCCACATTCCAGTTATAAAAATAAAATCAATTACCAAGAAAGTGTGCATCATTGACGTATTTGACAGTTTCTCTGGAGAAATCTGAGACTTTTTAACAGTTTTGATGGTATTTAAACATCTGGCTCTTTGTGATTATTTTGCCAACCTCTTTGATCGGCCACTACAGCCTTGTTGTGAGGCTTTGCTATGCGGAAAATGGCCCAATAATACCCCTTATAAATTGGAAAGTTCCCTGGTTTGCTAGTTATTCCAGAGACCACAGCGTACATACAGTAGGGGCTTGTTAAAGGCATCTGGCAGCCATTTTTGTTACTCACAAAACCAGCTATTTGATCCCTCAGTGACCAGTTACAGCTCAGGCTTCTTTGTTTGATGTGATAGTCATCAGGTTTTAGCCAGGTCCAGGTGGGAGAAACTGAAGGGAACATAATAGCTTGAGGTCGAATCGTGAGTGATGGGGAGTGTTTCAGTAAAGCGCTGGCTGCGAGCAGATTGTTAAATCCTCATCTGCACCGAAACTCCTTACAAAACATGAATGAGGGATGACTTCAAAGCTTTTGGACATTTCATCTGCTGGACCTTTGCCTTCATTCATGCCTCACAGCTATTACCACATTACTGTTTGTTAATTAGCCATTTACCAACTAACCACTGTAATGATAATGCTAGATGACATTTGCTTGGAGAGAAGCACTCTGGTGGTATATGGAATCATTATCTGACAGAACATACCTTCATGTTTTTGCCGTGCATGTGGTATCACAGTGCAGAAAGCCTGTTCTAAATAAAAGATTGACTATTATTTCTCCGTGTTATTATCTAATTTTACACCAACTGCTGCAACACAGTCAGCCCAGTGTCTTATTGTCTGAAAATGGTTTAATCTTGTGACCAGATCAAGGTCATTCCCCCTTATTGTGAAACCAATTTCGAAAAATGAGGACAATATTGTATCCTTGTCGGCATAAGGATCACCCAAGTGGAACATTATATGAGGCAGTGGAATTGACGCCTAGACAGACAGTGTATAAATCTACTTTGGCTGAAAACACATTAAGACTGCTGGTCTCCGTCTCTGCTGGCTCCATCTGTATCTAAGAGGTTTACTTCAGACACAGCAACGAGTATGAATATCATAGCATAATTTAGTTATTCTTGACTGCCTTTAGTGTATGTACATTTAGAATTTGACAAGGCACTCTTGTATAGATGTTAAATATCTGTTTAATAACAAGACTAGTGCCCTGGAACAACAGATATTAAACTAATAATGAACACTAGGAATTCGAGCAGCTTGATTGAAGAATCTGCATGCATTATCATTATTATGAATACTTGACTATTACTATTAGTAATTGCATGTACAGCCAGTCAAATAAATTGGCTATATGTCTGGGTATCACTGCTCTTTAATTCATATTAAACTAGATTCATTCTCTCCCTCTTGTCTGTTTCTCACATCCTGAATATCTTCATTTGACAGGTTCACTCTAGCTCCAGAGCTCCATCCAGACTGGATGCTGTTACTGTTCTTCACCCACACACACTTAACTGTTACAGTAACACTGGGTCTGCTACTCATCCCAAAGGTAATCATCATATTTAAAAATGTATCATTCTTACCTTATGTCTTTTTTATTAACTATTTTTGTTTTAATCCAGTTCAAGGATCAAGCTCAAAAGAGATTGTATTTTTACATTCTTGTCAACAAATCTTATGAAAAGGGCAAAACTACCAATGAATTGTTATGATCCAAGTACGTTTTGTCTGTGTATCTGAAGCCTGATATATATTGTACATTTCTGTGGCATAGACCTTTATTGTTATCCAAAAACACCTTACTGAGCCACACACAAGGTGACATTCCCAGCTGTTTTAGGAAACTACTTTGCCTTTTTATTGAATTAAGCTGTATATGTGAGACATATTTTAAAGATTTTCCATAGTTACCAATGGATTTTGGGTTGGGGAAGAGAAAGGCTGGGAAAGTCAGGAGGAATTGAGAAGCATACTAAAACATTGATGGCTCTGAACTTTCAAAAGATTTGTTGACAACTAGAAATGAGTGTTACAAACAATGCTGTTCCTCTTTATGCCACTCCATCAGTTCCTGTTTGCTGGCACCCACATGAGAGATGATATAGCCTCCGAGGCGTATGAGGACGAGCTGGACATGGGTCGTTCGGGGTCGTATCTGAACAGCAGCATAACATCGGCATGGAGCGAACATAGTCTTGATCCTGAAGACATCCGGGTATGAAGTGCTTCCTATAACCTTTCATTCTCCATTGTATAACCTGGTGACAACTTTTCCAGAAATACTGAGCAATGGTAGTTTTTTATTGCAGACACCAGACGAAATGGGCCATCTCAGTTCTATTAATGGCTGTGGCGTAAGGTCTTGCGACAGTCATTGGGAAAAACGTACCAACGTGAGCAGAGATTTCTGTTTGTCTGTTAGAGCTGAAGAAGTCTCTCTACCAAAAGATTTGGGCAAGCCTATTCAGCAGAAGGCATTCATTGTGTCAGATCAAAATACAGACAGAAATACCATACAATAAAGACCTGAGCTTCGAGGCTGTTTCAGACCTAACATTACAACACTCCGTTTCCTTATTTGATGCTGTCCGAAACTGTCCTGTCTTTGCTTTTTATCAGCACGCATGTGATATTCCGTAGTATATAATTTAACCGTTTTTAGTAAAGTCTCCTGAATTTGTACTGCATGTCTCTGTGCAGTAGAATGCTTTTTTGTAACAGTGCTTTGATTAGAAATATCTATTTTTTAATGAATGCACTTCTTTGCAATCTAAACTGCCAACTAATCACCTTGTTTCTGTCTTTCCCCCCTTGATTTGTTCTAAATATGTAGGAGGAGTTGAAGAAACTCTACTCCCAGCTGGAGATTTACAAGAGGAAAAAGATGTTAGCAAACAACCCTCATCTCCAGAAGAAGCGTAGTTCCAAAAAAGGGTTGGGTCGTTCGCTGATGAGACGCATAACTGAGATTCCGGAATCGGTGCACCGGCAGTGCAGCCGTGAAGACAAGGATTCTGGAGAACATGGGAGCAACCGTAACAGCATTTGCATGTTGAAGAAGAACCCCTTTGATCAGACTCATCCAGGAAAGCCGGCAAAGGAGGAGACGCTTAAGAACAAGGTTTTCTCCCTCAAGAAGTCCCACAGCAGTTACGACCATGTCCGTGACCAGAGTGAAGACTCCAGCAGCTCAGCAACAGACAAGATGGAGGTTACTCCGACTGAAGGCTCTCTCCTGGACACACTTATGGGCAAGAAGCTGGTCAAGAAGAAGTCCAGTGAGAATGTAGGGGTCACCAGTGAATCTACAGAATCGGTTCCTTTGGTCTGCAAGTCAGCTAGCGCCCATAACCTCAGCGCAGACAAGAAACCGATTCATCCCAGAGCCTCCATGCTTCAGAAGTCCCTCAGTGTCATCGCCAGTGCCAAAGAGAAGACTTTGGGCTTGACAGGAAAGACCCAGAGCGCAGAGGACAGCAATAAGAAGAGTCAGCCAAAGAGCAAAGAGACGAGGGCCAATGCAGATCCGGAAAATGAATTCCAACCCAAGATGATTATCAGCCAGTCAGTTGAGTGCAAACAGACTGCATCATTGGGCAGGATCATGAAACAGCCAGTGAGCGGTAGCCAGCCTACAATCTGTTCTGATCCAATCACGGGAAAAGACCTCTATGATCTCTCAGAGGTTTGTCCCTGGGAACTGGAGGATCTCCCAATGCCGTCTGAAAACAAGGTCCAAAAGCATGTATCTATCGCGCCAGATGAAACCACAACTGTTCACGGAGGTAGCACCAAGGGAGGAAAATCTCTGCAGCAGAAACAGAAAGCTTCTGATCAACCTCCATCGAGTGGCATTCATTCAAAGGAAATTCCAAAGACGACCGCTGTACGAGCAGAGATATGTCCATGGGAAGATGGAGGTGAAAGTCAAGGTGGTCAAGTAGAATGCTCAAATCCACAAACAAACATTCAGGCAAGCAAACTTGATCAGACCCAACCGCCTCATTCAACAGAGAGTTCCAAAACACATCGGGTAGACGTTTGTCCATGGGACTTTGAAGAGGCCCAAAAGAAAACTGAGTCAGCTTTTTCTCCAGATGTAACAACACAAAGAAAAGGCACCTCTCCTGTGGAAGGTAAAAGAAGAAGTACTCTTTTAGATCCATCCAAAACAGGAGACTCACTGCAGCCACTATCTGCAAAAGCAGATGTCTGTCCCTGGGACTATGAAAGCACTGCAGTATCTCCAAGTTCTGAGAGGACACCCAGTCCCTCTCAAGCATCCAAAACTAAGGAATCCCCATCAAAAAAGAAGGGTACCCCTTCCACAAGAACAGTTGAGAAAGAGAAATCAAAAGACGCTGATATTGAGAAAAGTAGAACAAAAGCTAAGGACAAGAGTAAATCTTCAGAGAAACAAATAAGCCAACAAAGAATGGCTGCGGTATGCCCATGGGATGTGGAGAGTCATCAGGATGTTCCGGTGGTAGAAAAAAGGAAGAGTGCAAATGTAGGGACGGCCAAAGCAAAGCCAACTGAAGTCTGTCCATGGGATTTTGAGGCTTCATTAGATAAAAAAGATACAGACAAAAGTGCTTCTCCCGTGAAACAGAGCAATCCCAGTCCTAAAGGCGGTGTTGTAAGTGCTCAAAAGGCAGACGTTTGTCCCTGGGACTTTGACGATAGCACATCAAGCAAGAAGGCATGACCTTAATGGACTATTAAAATGATAGTTATTGATGTATACTTTTTTCACTCTGAAATTGTTAAATATAATCTTTTATTATAAGTGCGGTGACTTGGAAGAAAAGTTCAAGATCAAGTTCCACGAGTTGCCTTCCTTTATGAGTTTTTTTTCCCGTTTTACCTATTTTCAAAATAAGTAAAATGTAAAAAAACAATAAAGTCATGACAAGCATTCCAGATTATTACAGGAAGATCCTGAGGATAACTCTTAGACTAATTATGCAACTTTTGATTCAGCCTTTTCACTTCATTAGCAATGTTGAAAATCTACATATATCATGTTCTCTATTCGGTCAACAATTCTTGGTGGTTGTTTTGTGCATTATCATCATCACTTATTGGACTAAGATATGACATGATCTGTAGGGGAAAAAGAAGTATGAAATTAAGGTCGATGTACAAAACAGCAAAAGTGAAAGCCAAAGAATAAGGAAACAATTGCAAAGAGCGTTATTGGTCTGTCGGCGATAAAGTTAAATTATTATTTTGTGTCTACTCCTCGGCACAGAGGGAGGGACTCCCAGTATATAAAACAGTATATAGCACTTTAGCCAACCTAAATTGAGAACTGAAAGCGGACTCTGTTCTTTTTGTACATTTTGTCTTCTTATTTTCAACTTCATGGCATGATGTCACATACCGACCAAACTTAGTTTTTGTTTAGATCTATTTAATTGTAGTTCTCAGCAGATTAAATTGCTTCCAAGTCTGCAGAGATGTACTGTATGTGCCTAACTAACTAGCATTGTCTTGTATCAGCCTGAAGCGAAGCAAAATACTTCTTCTTCAGCACTTTGTGACGGTGAATTATATAAACAGCATGCACAGCCAAGTGTTGAGACTAGTTGGACCCTTCTGGTTTGTCAACTAAAGCAGTTTATATGTTGAGAAATATATAATGTTTTTTTTTTATATATATATACCAGAGGCACTCCTTTTACTGCTTTCCTATTTCCAGACGCTCATTCAGGATGGTGGAGATTATATGAGAGCAGCATTAACATGAATGTGTGTCAAAATGGCTCATATGTACACTGTAAAAAGTAGGGATAGAAATACTGGGGCAATACTGAGGGAACAATTTGCACCAGCTTTGTTTATGAATCCAGCATGGATCATTTTGTTGGCTTGAACCAAGTATGTGTGTTTGTGTATGGACACAATATCATGAATTTAAAGTGTAAATGTGATTCTGTAGCTGAACCTCTGATGTATCATACAAGAAGAAGCTTTAACTCACTAAAAACCCAACAATTAAATGGTTTTCTAAACGGTAATTAACATATTTTACCAACAGCAACAGCAAGTAAAGCTACTGCTTTGAAGGGTAATAGTGGTTTATTATAACTTGGGTTTTATTTTCCTAATTATGGCCATCATTCCAACCAAACATTTTGAGACCTGGAACCAAAGCAACAACACTAAAACAAAGTTGTATGTGGGCATGAATACAAACAAAGGCTAACAATAAAATACACTTATATCCAACCTTTTGTTTACCGACCGACTTTCTGGTTAGAATTTGACCTACCATTGTTACCGTAGTTGTGTGTGCATACAGCCAATGGGACTTCAGTGATGTATCCTTGTTTCCAGATTTTAGCTTTTACTTTGTCATAATTACCAAAATAAAACCCAATCTTTTGGAGATCAAAACTATCCTTTGATATTTTAAGATAAAATATTACTATACGACCGATGGCGATAACAAGCACTACACTGCCATCACTTTTTGATTTGCATTTCTGTACGGAAATTGAATGCATGCTCTTCCCAGTTTAATTCAGGTTTGTTGATTAGTTGAGATTACCTTTTAGAATTAAGTCAACTAATAATCTGACAAAACTTTTTGAGGATTTGTATTTGTTTAATGTTTTGTATCAAAATGTCTAAATATTCATCACGCACTATCCACGTGAAAAAAGGAATCTCCCACTTAAATTTAAAATGACCGTTGAACACTTGCTAATAATTGCTACCTTGCAAAAAAACATATATCAATAGCATCCACGGTACTTTATGGTATTACTATTTTGTGAGAAATACATGGTAACACTGAATGTTGTCACTGATTGTAATTATAATTTCTGTCAAATTCCTTAATATCCAAGCTCTGTAGTATTGTGATTCAAAAAACAAGTCATATTTGACAAAACATACTGTAGGTCTTCAATTGCTTCATTTCTTTGGCACAAACAAAAAATAGAACAGTGAAAATTATATTTTTGAATCTAATTTTGTTCTACAGCTTGCCTCTATCAACATGATGTAGATGCTACGACATACATCTCTGAAAAATTACCCATTGACCTATTGGGGTGTCATCTGAAATATTTCAAATGTGTAGTGTTTGCCTTACAACGTGAGATGTGTCATCCCCCCTTGCTTTATGAGCTCCTATAGGAACGGTGTCTGAGAAGAACTGTCAACGTGCATGGATTGATTGTAATGATTTGATGGATCTATGTGATATTTATGAGCCAGATGTTAAGCGTCATCCATCATATGCATTGTGGTAGTAGATTAGGGGCCATACCAAGAGACCCTGTATGACAAGAACGACATTTCAAAAGCCTTTTCTTTTTTTTTAAGTCACTTTGGAATCACTGCCGCATTGGATTTGTACTGCCCTGGTGATGGACAATATGCTGTATATTTTTATCCTTGTAGGAAAGCTATTTGAAATGAGAAGATGTGTTTATTTCTTGATATTCATTTTGAAGACGACTTTAAATGAGCTCAAACAGGCTTTAAAACAACTATGATTTTCATGAAATTCTAATATTTGTTGGTAATTTGTATAACGACAAAAGACGGTATTTTTTTCTCCATTTAAAAATGTACTTTTCAAGGCATTTATTGATTAACTTTACACACTGGGCCCATGAGATTTCCAGATTAGAGCTGGAGCACAGAAGAAACATAATAACACTTGTACTGTCTTAGAGCAGAAGATAATAATATCACAATATCCAACAATTTCACCATGTAATACATCATATTACAATCAGTCTTCTTTGTTGTTCCATTTACATAATTCCAGTATGCTTCCTTGAGCATTCCTCAGTTCAGTCAGTCTATGTATACTTACTTGTGTATACATAACCAGTGTACGTTACTCTGGAAATTATCGTTGTCTTTTGGCTGTATCATATGAATCCTTGAAAGTATGAACCTCAAATGGAGCCATTTGTATTTTACCACCTTAAGATAGATGACACTGTGTCCTGTAGCTCTTTGTCCACCAATCAGATCCTTTACCATTGTTGGCTAGCTGATTTCATTTAAACCTGACTTCTCCTCTCTTGTGACCAAACCATGTCACCCGATGGCAACACAACTACTATTGCTACTACTACTATTATTCAATGCTGTAACGTCGTAAATCTTGCTCTTGTGGCTTCTGCATGAATTGAAGAAAAAATAAATAATAGGACCGATGTTTCACTGCCCTTGATAGAACAAAAAAGAAAAAAAATTGATCTTTTATGGACTGTTACAAGTTGTATAGTGAGTGATACTGTCCCTAACCCACTGTATTATGCTTGTTATAACTATTGCTCTATGACAAGCTTATAGCATCAATATATGGGAACATTTGGTAGATTTATATTGTGTTATATTGTGATAGCATGTACATAAAAGATACCTCCTCTGCAATAAATATTTATATGAAAATTAAGCGTGTGCTCAGTGTGTTTCTGAATCTTCTACTGCACTTCAAGATCATATACTGTCATGATTCTTATGTCATGTCACGGTTTTAGTTTTGTGTGTCTGGTAATGGGTTTTGTTTTGCTGTTCTTTTCTCCCTGTGTGTTCCTCCCTGTCGTTAGTTTCCCTGGTGTGTCTGATTGTGTTCACCTGTTGCCCTTGTGTTTCTCCTTCCCTGCCTGGCTGTTTCTCGTCTCGTGATTACCCCTCCCTGTATTTAGTCTTGTCTCTTCTTGTGTTCGGTGTCGGTTCATTGTTTGTCTTTCCCTTCATGTCACGCTCCATGTTTGTCCTTGAAGTTTTGGTCCTGGATTATTTACTCGTGCTCCCCTGTTTTGGTAATGCTAAGTTTGTCTCTTGTTTTCTTTTGTCATTGGCTTTTTTGTAAATTAAAGCTCACTTTTTGTTAATACTGCATTTGGGTCCTACCTTTTCCACGCACCCTGACATATACAATCCTTTGTCCACGTCCCTACTCCTGAGGGAAGTTGATACAAGACACTCCCATGATGCATTTGTGCTTTGTAATCATCCTTGTCATCCCTTGTGTTTGCTTATTCCTCATGTAGACATGCAGTTAGAGAAACCATGGCCTTTAAAAGCCTCATGCATCATGACCACTTAAGGTTATGCGCTTCTTGGCGACTGTCCTGAAATGCTTTTATGGCTTGATGTGCTTTTTTGGACAGAGATCAATGGACGCTGTGCAGGAAGCGAGAGATACAAGATGGTATCAAATGCTGACTCCAGACCCCTGCAGAAAAACTGAAGCTATTTTCCAATCCCAAAATAATGATTGGCCACGATTAAATAATGTTTCTCTCTGAGCCAAAGGGAAAAATCGTTTCTTGCTCTATTAATACTATTCAAACCTCATACATTCTACATAATGAGCAATGCATAAAACTGACAACTAGACTAGTGTCACAACTACTTTTGTCTCTATGAATAGGGCTGTGACGCAGCCAAATAACATTGCAAAATATTATTTTGAAAAGCAAACATGTTAGCATTGATTCCTGTTTACAAGAGCACTTTCGGAGCCGTTGAAATAAATAGAAGATCAATGCAGGCTGCTGCATGGAACTAAAATAGAGAAAACGTCAGAGAAGAAAACACATGAGAAATAACCTGTGACGGGCAGATACGGAAACTATTGATGTTCCATTTGATATTCATCACAGTTAAAAAAGCAGTCTTTCCATAAAGAAATGACTGTTAAAGTAACTATAAAACATAGACTTTGTTTTACAGGCTTTTTTAGTGATTAAACTAAGAGAATAATCAGCTGAGTCAGGCTTTTCAGAGCTTTATAGTGAGTTTCAAGTCATTATTTAGCTGTCCAGCCCACAACATTGTTTTAGTTCATTCTTATTACTCTAACAGAGGTTGTTTTTAGGGAAAAAGTTCATAAAACCTTTCGCACACAGTCAAATGTATTTCACTGACACGGTTAGAGACTAGCTGGTAAACATTATGTTGATCACTTAGCCAGACATTTCTTTCATCTGTAACCAAAAACATGTTTTTAAAAAAAAAGTTTAATAATAATAATAATGCATGCAATAAAGTCCTGCAAATCAAGCATTTTATAATTAGGTTTTTTTTTAGTTGAAGACAGTGTCTGGGGCTGCATTGTATTCTTTAAGGAAACAAAAAACACCATTCAATTGAAAGATACTCAATTTCTCCTAAGTAGCATTCCCTGAAAGCAGTCTTCCAATTGTTACTGGAACCTGTGCAATTTTGGTATTATGTGTCTATCAAGCACCCTATTAAAAAACAATCATATTAAATTCATTTATACAGAAATATGTGATAACAGAATGTTCTAAAGACAGAAATAATCCCACTGAATCCTCAATAAGAGACCAGCCCCCTCATACACATCTTAAACTGTGCAAAAAAAGAGTCCTCTGGATCTCCTGCGGTGCATGACGGTGAGAATGGATGTTTGTGCACCTCTTTGTTGTCTTAAAATTTAGAGGACAGCGGGACACATCTTCCAGCATGGCAGGATACATGTTTATACTTAATCAGAGCCTTTTGTAGGAAGTGATGGACGGCGGTGGGGAGGAAGACGGACAGGAGATGAGAGGAAGCTGAGCGTTTTAGGCACAAGCCAGCATGCTCAGTCGCTGACTCATCCGTCTCTCAGATGGAGGGGAGAGAGGTGGTGGTGTCGGTGGTGGTGGGATGTTGAGGACATGGCATGTGTCATGTCGGACTCATGACTCACAAATAAGGGCTCTGTGCGTGGGGGGGCACCTAGTGGGAGACATACACATGTGGGAACACGCTGTAACAACATCACTCAAGGGTGCAATTCATTGTTCTTGTGTTGAACCTGATTAACTCAAACACTCCAATTTCTAGAAATCATGTAGTTGGATGTATTACACCGTTTGAATTAAGAGTTCAGAATGTCATCCTTTTTTTTGTCTTTTTTTGTTTTCTTATCTTTCCGAGATGAATCATTATTTATTTTTGTTGTAATTCTTTTTTATTATCATACCTTTTACCTCCTTGTGTCTCTTAAACTGTTAAAATGTTATATTTTGCTGCATGTATCTGCAATTTCTAGAAATGACGTAGTTGGATGTATTACATCATAACATATCCTTTTTATTTTTCAAATATTTTAATCGTTTAACATTTATTAGAATTATGTTCTTATTCTTGTTTTATAACTACTATCTTCTTTTTTTTCTGTTGTACCTATTTTCACTTTATTTTATAGGGCTTTATATTGTTGGATCTTTTCACTTGTCTTGTGTCTTACCTTTCCGAGATAAATCACTATTTATTTTTATTGTATTTTATTTGTATTATCATACCTTTTACCTCCTTGTGTCTCTTAACCTGTTAACATGTTACATATTGCTGCATGTATCTGTAAAGGTTTTAACATTGGATCTGAGGGGAATTTCTTGTTGTTTATTTTTTACTTGTGATGTGTTCCATTTTTTAAACACTTTGAGCTGCATTTGTTGTATGAAAAGTGCTATAAATAAAGTTTTATTTAAATTATTTGTATTATTAAATTGCATTTCCTCATGAGGTAAAGAGAGCCATGATCTGTTATTGTATAGCACCTAGTGTTGTAATGTTCGACCTCAGCTAGTAGGCAGTTAGCCGCCCCTGAGGTCCTGTTCTCCTCCATGCTCCGAAGCCACACCTACGGACTCCTACACATGCTTTTCTGCCTCAATGGTGGCTTCATCATTAGAGGAGCCCTTGGTGATGCGAGCATACATGACTCACAGAGAACCTCTGTTACGTTCCTCCTCCACCACCTCCACAACTGGCAGATTATGTACAATGCACATTAACACATTTATGTCCATGCAATTCAGCATCAAGGTACACCATCACAGTTCAATTACTTACGCATGTCGTCCAATGAGTAATTGTTTACCCCCGTCAAAAGTGTCCTTGTTTCATTGCTGCAGAGACAAAAACTGGAAACACAGCTCATCAGAACCTTGAAAATTGCGTCACTGTGCTGCTGTTTAACGTAGGTATCAGCTATTAACACCTACTGCATTTGGAGAGGATTGTCAAGCCAGCGGCATCCACACGTCAATAAATATGACTTCAAACTGACATTCACGTCATTTCATCTTCAATTCTGAATTTTACATTATCTGTAATTGTTATCTATCTCTAAGTCTAAATGCTTTGTCAAATAATTTCCCACCATGCTAGTAACATGCTCGTCATTCTGCATACGTTACAACTTATCTGAGAATTTTGCGCGTTTGCACCACTTCATAAAGGACAGTTCTTACACTTTGAATTTAACAATGCATATTGTTCCACATGTATGTGTCATATTCCTATTGACATATTTTGTTATACTTGTATACATTGTTTTATAATAGTTCATGTAATGTTTTTTAAAATAGTCCTCTTATAATATTCCCCAAGTGTTCCCATTTGAATTTCTTGTTCAGTGTTTGTGTGAACCGTTATGCTGCAAAGCTAATTATTATAATAATAATTTGCTTTGCATTTAGTTTTATTATTATTATTCAAATACTAAAATCCTTTTATTTTTATAACATCCAAAAATATAACGAATAGCCAATAAAACACCTACCAGGTTGATCCCTGAATCCTTTCATTCCCAGAAGAGAAGAAATACATTAGCAGCACAGTTTGGATACCTTAAGGTAAGAGAAAACACTTTCAGGCCAGTCATTTTGACGGGTAACGGAATATGATGTAACACTGGAAAATACATGGTATCATTTCTATATGTCCTCAGAAAGAGACAAAACAAACATATAAGGATAAAGCACACTGCTACACAGGGCCGGCCCTTGGCATAGGCAGTATAGGCGAATGCTAAGGGGGCATCAATCAATGGGGGGCGCCGAAAATTGAAAGAAAAAAAAAAGTTAGAAATTTAAAAAAAAAACATTTTTTTTTATTTCATAACAACACAATTTCCCGATTTTGTATCAACAAAGTACATCTTATTATCTTATACTAACAGCACTACGCCTATATTGCGTACAGCGCCCATAAACTATGGTGCACCCCCCCCCCAAATCAAGTTGAACCGCCCCAGCCCCAGTAAAAACCAGAGGTTTATGCAAAGTAGTTCTTTTTTTTAAAATAATGGTTTTAGAGTGCAATTATAGGTTTTAATTTTGTATTTGTGTTAATTTAAAATAAATCAAACTCCCAAAAAAAGTATACAGCTTTTATTAACATTGGAATTTACTGTGTAAGCGGCCGCGGGGGGGGGGGGGGGGGGGGGGGGGGGGAGCTTTAGAGAGCTCTCTCCTGAAAGACTGAGAGGCTCTGATAACCTCAGCTCAGTGAGGTAAAGACACACCTTTATATGATCATTATAGTTAAAAAATAAGAGAATAGATTTTCATCTATTCTCTTATAGTATAAAATACTATATGACAGTAAAAAAAAGTTGTTATTAATAAACAAGAATACAGTTTAAAAGGGGAGTGATTTGTAAAATGTCTATAAATAAAAAAAATCTGCTTACAGTTCTGTTTCATATGGGTGTTGAGAGATGTATCCATAGATCTCTTAATGTTGCTCTCAAAGTGCACCAGATTGATGCTTTTAACTTCAATATTAAAAACAAATCTTCCCGGGGGAGCATGCCCCCGGACCCCCCAAGAGGAGGTTAGGTCCACCCCCACTTAAATCATGTTCAAATGGATAGGAAACTAAATACATTTGTACACATCTTGTGTCCATATCTTTCTGTTTTGGTTGTCATGCCACAACCGTGCATGCATGCGCGGGTCATAGTGAGTGTCTGCATTTGGGCAAAAATCTTGCCTAGGGCAGCCAATTGGTTAGGGCCGGCCCTGCTGCTACAAATGAGTGCTAAAGTGAGCAGCATATTAATACATTTTCTCAACGAAGGATAACAAACTGATTAACACCTTTACTAAAACATGCCTCAAATGTGAGAATTTGTGTCTTTGTTTTCTTATTTTGAGTTGAAAACCATTGAAAAAAGCTTTCTTAAGCAATCACCTTGTATATGACATGACAACAAAGACTGGTGTAAAAACAACATAAACAGGTGAATATTCAATAAAGATAACTGACAAGATGAAGTCAATTGTAACTTGTAAATTAGAATACATTGGGATGACTTGTTGCTATATCCTGATGTTTGATAGGCTAATAATAATAAAAATAATAAAAATAAAAAAAAATAATCAATTGGAAAACAGTATTCAAATAATATTATTTCTCCTTCCCGTCTGAGATACAGACTCTGTATAAATACAATTAAGGGCATTTTCCGTAATTCTAGAATAAGATCAGCCTTCATTTGGCATCTATTCTTACAACGTGATTGATTGAACACAATTATCTTAAACTCTAAAGGCTAATAGGCAAATGTGTCTCCATAGCTGACAGGATGAGGCCAGTTTTGGCTCCTCTGATACTGGATGACTATCCTTGGGTAATGGCTTTGGCTAAGGCTGATATGTAGTATTTTTGGAAAGTAATTCAAATATTGGCAATCAATGTTGTTATTTGTGTTACTGAAACCCGAGATAACATTAATCACTGGACTCCTCCTCTACGACCGGGGTTCATTAGATATTTATGAGTTAAATTATATCTAAACTGCTTATGCAAGTCAAATGATACCAGTTAGAGAGATGAATAGACTTGTAGAATACGGTTTACAGTCATTATCTGTGCTGCAGACGGTGCCGATGACAATTACTTGAAATCAGTGTCAATTACAGCCCCCATGCACGTGACAGGAGCTTGTGAATTTCCTGTACTATCTCTACAAACACTTGTGTTCCTTTATAGAAAAAGGAGAGCATTTTCCCCATGGTGAGTCCTCCCTGGCTGCAGCTTTCTCCTCACATTGTTGTGATTAACTGCCGGAGCCCGATGACACCTCTTCCAATTAGAGAAGCCTTTCAGCCACTTGTGCTGAGAGGAGCACATTTCTCTGAGAAAGTCCTGTCTAAAATATACTATTCATGCCTTTTTGACATGCAAAACACACAACGTTTTTAGTGTCTATTTCATTGACACTTTGTGTTGATCGAGCAAGGATTAATGTGTCAGTGAAAAAACCCTTCATTTGCTGTTTACTGGAATTGTTTCGCAGAGAGAGGAGAAAAAAGCAACATAAAATAGCTGGGAGCTAAGGTTAGAATTTTCCTGACAGCCTCCACTTCAAATGTAACATTGTATTAAAAAAGACAAAGCTAGAGAGATAATGTGTCTTGCTGTGAGGTTAAACATAGATTCCACTCAATATCATAAACAGATGCATATTTTTTGAGGATATTACTAGGCCTATTTATTCCCCACGTTCTCTTTGTGACACATGTACATCCTCTTCCAAGATACATTGGCACAGACACTTTCTTTTCATTATCTACATACTTTATTTAAGGAATGGTAATATTACAAGGCACTATATGACAAAGAAAACCTATTTGCCTTGTACAAATGTAGAACCAAAAAAACCAACTATTTTTAAAAAATACAAATAAATAAACAGAATGGTGGAAAAACTATAAGTTTCCTAATAAATAACCAGCATATTAAAATAATAGTTGACAATTGTTTGGTTTTTCAGAAGAGTCTTGAGTAACCACGTATTGTTGCTACCAGATGTGGGATAAGAACTCAGATTGTGTACTTAAATCAAATAGAAGTACCAGAGTGTAGGAACTCTGTTACAAGTAAAAAATAAACAAATAAATGTAGTGGAGTAAAAGTAGGTTACACGATTTACCTCTGAATTGTAGTGGAATAGAATTACAAAGGGGCGTAAAATGGAAATACTCAAGTAAAGCACAAGTATCTCGAAAAGTGTACTTGAGTACAGTACTTGAGTAAATGTACTTAGTACGTTTCCCAACTCTCGTTCCACACCAGAGTAGACGTTCAGCTCGGCCCCGCCCCCTAGCGGCGGGTAAACTTACGTCATGACGTTATGAGCTGATGACGTATGTAGTGTTATCATTCTGCTGAATTTAAATGACTACAAACTAAATGCGTGTCTGCTCCACGCCAGAGCCATGGCTCTGCTCCACGCTACCTCAGTTTACTTCCGGTGTACCTGTTCAACTCTACCCATCATAGCAACGGTAAATGTTTTAAACCAGTTAAATGTGTGAAAACCATAGACTGTATTTGGTGAAAACCAGTTAAATACTACATGTCGTAGTGATTTTGTCAATGTTTTAGGTCTTCTGTTTATTTAAGTGAAAGGTTGAGGACTCAGTGTGCGAAATACACGTCAATAATCGGGGGGGTCCCCATCTCCCGTTTATTGCGCAATATTGGCCTGGTCGAATATTTCTCAATATGCAGTAGACCTCCTATACAATATTCCATGGATGCAAGCCAAGACAATCAGTAGTCTATACTATAGCAGCGTTTCTCAACCGGGGCGCCGTCTGGCGTCTTCAGGGGTGCCGTCAAATAATTATATATTCTGACGTTCATATGAATGAATGATGCGAGGAAAGATATTTATGAATACATGTTTTGAATTGTAAATACTGGACATAGTAGTCTTAAAAACATGTTAGTGACCATTGCAAGTGGCAAATAAATATTAATATAATTTGAGACCCCCCTCAAATGTAGCTGTTGAGGCTTTCAGGGGGGCTCAGGTGTTAATCAGGGGAGTCGAGCTCCCCCGGACCCCCCCCGTATTTCGCACACTGGTTGAGGTTAAAAAAAAAGAAGAAAAACTCTAAAGAACGAATTGAAATTTAGAGAAACGTTAGCAAAAGTTGCATTAATAAAGCAGTCAGATGTATTGTGTGTAGACACTACTTCTATTAAAGCTGTAATAATGAAATTGCAATTGCTGGTGCATAACATGTATCTGTCTATCTTTCTAAGGGAAACCATGGAATTTGATGAGGAGAAACTATCTCAGTGCCCAGCTGGATCAGCAGTGGTTTGTAAAAGCTAGTATACATGTATACTTTTCCTTAATATGCAATAACAGTTCTCTGCTACTTGCTTTAATCACTTACACTCAGAGTACTTTGGTACTTTAAGTATATTTTGATGCTTATACTTTTGTACTTTTACTTGAATAACATTGTGAATGCAGGAATTTTACTTATAACAGAGTATTCCTACACACTGATACTTCTACTTTTACTCAAGTACAAGATCATAGTACTTCTCCCACCTCTGCTTACACTTTTATTCCACCCCTCTAAGTTATGTGTTTGTTTATTTTTATTTTTTTAAAGGGTGCAACATTAAGCTGTTTGACTGATCTTAAACTGTCAGCTGCAGACATTTTAAACTTTTTCACCATGGGAGATAAATAAACTTGTCATAACCTTATTTCTCCAGTTTCAAGTATGGTATTTTATGATAATCTGTGTGATTTCAACAGGGCAGGAGAAAGGGTGAGGAGTCCAGGAATAAGACGGTTGAGTTGACGTTGGGGATGAAAACATCCAAACCTGTAGTGTCCTTTGAACTTTCTTCGTGTTTTTGTAAGGACAGCGAATCCTGCATGTGAGTCACACACAGTTGGTTAAAACTGAAGATGTACTTTAAAAAGTTAAAATCTCATTATGTCAGGCCTAATCATCACAGTAATGGTGAATTATGGCCCCTGCACTGTTTTGGCAAAAGCAGATACATCACTAAAGGACAAAGGCAGATCCACTCGTCTAATAATCCAATTTATTTTTGTTTTTAGGTGCAAAAATAGGCTTTTTGACTCTCCATCACCACTCTGTCTTTCACCAGCAACTGCTGCAGCACAAACACAGATGCTGAGCACAAAGCCCAAGGCCATGGCGCTGGTGAGTCACACTCATACCGACGTGTGTGAATGGGGCTAAGTGAACGTTCATTCAGTATATTAAAAAAAAAAACGCTTTCATTTGACGTCATTGGTCTTAATCACTCAATTATAGCAATTTCCAGAAGGTAACTGTGTTTTATCTTCACCCTGTCTGCCTCCAGATAGCATGCAGGCAGCTGACTGATGGGAACGAGGCGGCCTCTCTCAGGGACCAATGTGAGATCATTCACACACTTTTAGTTATTCCCTCTCAATCATTTGTGCGTACAATACATGGATCATACTCTGCGCGTGTGTGATGGTGTAGTATTCAGGTTGTTTTACAATGCTCCAAAGCTATACGATAACACAAGGACAAACAAGATAATGAAACTTTATTGCAAGTGTGAGGACAAAAGTATATAGACTTGACATGAAAATAGCTTTATAACATGAAAATAGCAATAGATAAGTTGACTCAGTTTTCTTTAATCGATTGGTCATTTTTTAAAGATTTCTTCATGATGAACGCTGTCGTTTTCTTATTAAGTGCATCCCTGGTAAACACAATATTTAAAATGGTGCTTTTGCATGATTGTTTATGGGGAAACTCAGTTTTACAGATCTGTTCGACATATTTTTGGAGCTAGATGCAGCTTTAGATTACAATATCCTGCTGCATGTTTAAAGACTGATAGTTGACAACATGCTCACCATTAATTTAGTAGGTTATTCTATTGCTTTTGTTTATATCACATCAATTTCATAAGCAGAGGGAGTTTACCCAGTCATCTTGATTATTGTAGGTGTTCTACCTTTTTTATTTATATATTTCTAAAGAAGAGTATATAATGTGATTGAAAGGAACTTAATACAACTTTTCTTAAGATCATCAACAATGAAACACAACATGTGAATAAGTCTGAGCTAGCTTTACACTTAATAAATGCAATTGCTTTAATTATGGACTACAAAAATGCACAAAGACTGTAAATAAGCTTCTGCTACATGAGGGAAAACACAATAACGACATAATACATGCAGACAGATAATTACAACTGTTTTTTGTGTTTTTCTTTGATAAAATTCAAATAAAGATTTCATAATTAAAGGAGAACCGTGATTGGATGAAGTCCACATTACAGGATCATTGAAGTAATTATACAGTGAGGTTATGAATCCTTAATGAAGAAATAATTTGTCTTTATGACAGTACAATCCAGCCCCCACACACACACACCTCCACTCATGGGGAGCCTGGGGGAGCGTGTGTGTGTGTGCAGTCACAGCCTGAGAGTGAACATGAGTCAGCCTCATAGTACAACTTATGAGTGGGCCTCACTGGGAGCTAAATGGATAACTCATAGAGCGGCTTTTTACAGGAGACTGTCTGGGCTACCAAATAGATGTATTGATATATGTTATGCGAGTCCCTGCTTACTCTGAGCCATGCTATTAAGGATTGGAATTTGAAACATATTTCACCAAAGTGGAATTTAAGTTTAAATCATGTCATTTAGACTCTGTTCGAAAAGGGCTTGAAATTGACAATAAAAAAAGATAAAATGACATAGCAAAAAAATCACAAAATAATATTGAATATTGGCGATGTATGGATCAAATATATTGCTGTGTTTTACATTGCATACTAATAGTGCTGTTCTTACAAAAAAGGGTATATTTTTGTCTGTAAAATGTTAAAAAGGGAAATCTTCTTCTTGAATATGTTTTATTCAATTCAAACATATAAGGGTGTCAGCATTGTCAACATGAAAATAACCATTTCAGTTTAATTTGACTTTTTCCTGATTGTTCATTTTTTCCTAGCTCCTCTGCCAATACTAACACTGAAAGGGACTGTAAGTTTGGAAGGCTCCGACCCCAGAAGGCCCCGATCAGTTCATGCATCCATCACTGTAAGTTTTATTGGAAATTCACCAAATATCTGCCATTTTGTATCTTTCTCTTGCTACATGTACTTCTTCTCCACTTCATTTTACAAGCCAATATTTGTATTCTACTACATTTATTTAACACTCATAGTTGCTAGCTTCTTTGTACATATACCCAACACCTGACATGTTGCAATACTTAACTGTACTTTACCTATTATTTTAAAAGTAACTCAAATTGGCCTTACCCTGAGAAACACTTAAATATTATGACATGTATTTGTTGGAAAGAAAAACATAATAGTGTATATAATAAAACCATATTACTGCTAAAATATCCAATCTGTATACTGAGTAATTTAACTTTTTTTCATTTTAAAACTATTCTTGTAATGGGATATTTTAAGAACTTGGCATTTTGACTTTAAATAAAGGATCTGAGTACTTCTTGTGGCAGTAATTGCACAGGGAAATAAGACATCGGGATTTCTAGTTAGATACATTCCTTGTTCGTTTGTATTTTAGGGGATTTGTTAGACAGTTAGAACATTCAGGATCTTACCAGACCAATCCTTTAAGGCACATTTAGATTGCAGTTAGTGGATATGACCACTAGATGTAGATGTTGATCCATTTCTAGCAGTGTTCACCCTAAGCAAATACTAAGTGTGCTGAGATTTTATTTCTTCCAGGGAACAGCCTCAGTATCAGCTGCTGATCAGAATGAAGCCCCCGGAATGAGCCTGCATTTGTCTAAAGAGGTCCTACTATGTATTTTGTCCTCTGTATAATTACTCCAGACATTACTAAACTCTATGTGACAATTGTGCCTGTGTCAAATGTATGTTGTGTTTTCTTTAGGGGGAAAAAAGGCAGTATTACCAAGACCTGTGCCTGCAGGTAGAAGAGAGGAAACAACAGGTGGAAAAGGAGAGACATAAAAAGGCTGTTGACGATCAAAAAGTTTGTTATTTTTGTTTTGTATAGTATAAATACTTATAATACAGTATTGAATTTTGCCCTGTAGTTTTTTGATCACTTTGATAGATTAGTAATTAATGTTTGTGTCACATTTTCCCCAACATCTGCAGCACAATGAGACCCAGCAGCAAACCTGGGGGATGCCAAGAAGTGGTGCCCAAAACCACCAGCAGGGTACAGTGAAACGGAGCAGAAACCTCGACACTGCCGGGATTTTACCCCAGGAGCAGGTGAACAATGCACTGTTTACTGTAACAAAAGCCTAGTGTTCACAGAATGTCTTCTGATCGCACTGGCTTAGAAAAAAAGGAACTAAAAGAGAGTCTGTAGCCACACACACATTTTGTAACAAATGAGGATTGTGGCTATTGTGCTAAACAAGAAAACTGCTCCTGCAGTCCTTGAATTTGTAAGGAAAAATAGAGGGAAAAAGTGATTTCCTCCCATTGAGACTTGAGACTCCTGCATAGCTTGGTCACCCCAAAATATGTTTTGAATTAAACTATCTTTCTGACCTTCTTTCCACACATAGTATTAGTCTAGTTGCAGGTGAAAGTCAAAACCTCTGTCTGTGGATCCTAACAGTAGGAGCCTGTCAGACTCTAAACAAGTTGTGTGAAACCTGAGTTTGGGTCCTGGGCCAGCATAACATTACAGCCTGCTACTTTGGCCGGCTCTTCTGAATGCTGCCTTTGTTTCCAGATCCGTGATAGAGGCTTCACTGGGACCCCCTTCCACCACCTCTGAAATGAAGACCATAACATCCCCGAACTGAGGGCTACGGAGCAGACAGGCAAAAAGTAATCTCTCTGCAGACATCGGATATATGGGCTGTTTCAGCAGCAAATTCTGATGGTTGCAAAGAATTACAGAATGTGAATAAACTTCAACCGAAAAGTCTAAAATGTGAACAACCCGAGAACTCTAAATCCAAGAGAGGCCTTCATTGATTCTTAATAAGGAATACATATAAGTCATTTAAAGCAAGTCCAAGTTGACACTCAAAAAAGACATATTTAAATAACATAATCATACAATTGTTTCTAGTACTGCTTCACCTCAAAACAAACTGAGTTGGAGGATTTACTTTATGCAACTCAGCAGCACTGAAGTCAAGTCCTTAAATAATCACTAGAAAGTACAATCTTGCAGCAGTTTGGATAAAGTCCAGTCCTCAAGGAACGGTTTGGCATTTTAATGAGATGAGAAGATTGATACACCCCTCTCTAGTTTCATTCATCTTCATCAACTCCCATCAAGCAAGCAAAGAGGAGCATAATTTCCCAACAATTTCCAACTATTCCTATTAATTCAAAATTGTATATAATATTTAAGAGTTCTAATGTTAGGAGGAATAGGAAATCAAATCAGAAACCCTATTTTACAAGACAACTGTGAGCCTGACTGGAACAACATTGAAACATGAGTTTTAAAGTTGTGTTTCATAATAGTCACGACACAAACTCTGCAAAGATTGATCCTGCCTTGCTTGAAAGTTTGAGATGACATCAGCGTCAGTGAATGTTGTCTTTGCTGATTTAAGTCCTACTGTCGCCCTGAATATGTTGTTACTGTAATTGTGTCGTACATACACACAGCCTACATACAGTCAGACATAAACAGCTATATTGTTTGAATTACCAATTTCTCCCTAAAGTTTCTCATTCCAGGTTATCTCCAGATAATTATACAGTGAAAAAAGGATGAATCATCTTCATGTAATTGCATGGCTCAGTTAGTGTGACGGGAGCAAGCTCTTAATGGAAGCAGGTTACTCATACGCTGTGTGCATGTATTACGTTTATACAGACCAAAGGGCTTTATTATGGAAGGCAGCAGCGGCTCTCCTCTTCAGTAGGGGGTAAGTAATTATGATGTAGGGACAGTGAAATACCAATGTTTAGAGCGCAGGCTGGCGAGGTTGGTAATTATAACATAAAGCACTTAATTCTACAGAAGATGTATCTTTTGGGTCATTGTTGCAGCGCGTAACAATTACACACTAAACAACTATTCAACATATTATAACTTTTTCTGAGCTTTTACCAACTAGTGAATTATGGTTGTTTAGTTGGGTGAAAGAAGAGTATCAGTTTTTAAGGTATTTCATAAATTCATTCATTTCCTTTTCTGGGTCATATGACGTGTTTCACTGAATTACAAATATGGGAAACATTCCACTTCATTTTGCATGACCAGCATGAAAGATCCAAGCAGCAGCAGTTAGCTCGGGTCAAGGAAGGTCAGAGTTAATAGTCGGTTACATCAACAAGAGGGGATTTAGCATTTTACTTAAGGCCATTAAAGAAAGTGAAGTAAATTAGGGCTGAAGGATGTCTAACTCTGGCTTGACCATGTGTCATGTCAGGTGGGTGAAAAATCATTACCCATACTGTTAAGTCACTGCAATAAAGCTTATATGTCTCCTATATTCAGTGGTAACCTCACTAAAGCCTTCTTTATACTTAGTCATTTATCATTATTAGACTCCTAGTTTATTAGTTATATTCTCCTAAAATAATATCAATAGGATCTATTGATACTCCCTGTAATATAATGTATGTATTATTTAATTAAAGGGAAACATGTGGTTTGGATTGTTTTAAGTGGGGTTGTATGAGGTACTAATCCATAGTCAGTGCATTACCCATGCTTTCTTCATAATCACCAGACTACATTGACAAAAACAGACATTTTAGCTCTTATAACAATGGGGTTGCTATAGGCTACTGCTGCCTCGACTTGTTTATTTTGTGACATGTTTTTATGATTAACCAAAGTAACACAATAGCTAATACATGCTTATGTATAAATACGAATTAAACAAGTGATTGTTACCATCGCCTGAATCTTACAAAGTTATGCATCACAAATTATTATTCGAATTATAAAATTCTGAAATGGACCAAGGACCATTATACATTATAAGGACTTTCATTTTTGGTAACCTACTTGTGTAGATCTGGAAGCTTATACTTCGTACGATTTTGAAAACACTACTATCATTTGTGACAGAGTTTGTATTCACTTTGGTATTACTCCCTAAACTAAGTGAAGGATCTGAGTATTTCTCTAGCTGCTGACCATATTGTGGTGAGGATGTAAATGGTTAATCTAACGGACTATGCAGCGTTCCGTGGTGACGTCACACGCTGGTTTCAGCTTCTTTGGGCCGCAGCTCGTAGCCTCGTATCAGGAGAAGAAGTTAGCTTGTACAAACTACTCTTTTAGCCATCAGATCACCAGCTGAAACCGGACGAACATCTTTAAAATGGGCAACTGTCAAGTAGGTACCATTGTCTTAACACAGTGTGCTACACACTCTTTGGTTAGAGACGATCTTTAACAGTTTGCAGTTTAGACTTAGCTATAGCCTACACGTGTAAAGAGTAGTTTAATTAATATCCTACTATTTCAACTGATATTCAGCACTATGGTGTCAGATTCATATTTTCGGTGTTTCTTTAAATGTAAACGTCGGTGCTGACACCGTGTGACAGACAGCAGAGTGGGTTTACGCAGTGGAAGGGGCCACTCCTCTGCGGAATTCATCACAGCTCCGTTAGACGAGTGTGTGTGTGTGTGTGTGTGTTTGTGTGTGTAAATGAATGAGCAGGGCTCTCTGTAAATCAGCAGTACTGCAAGGATGGGGGGAGGGTGTTCATCATGATTGCCAGATATGTGTCTTTCTGTGCTCATTTATCTATTGTTTCACCTCATTGGCAACTTCAATAATACTAAGTGGCAAAGCATGAATGACATTTTCGGGACTTGTGGGTTATCTGTTGCCACTTTTTATTGTTTTTTTCAGACTCTAAATACGCAATATTTTTGTTTTTGTCAGACTCTCTAAATAACCCTAATCCCTAGGAATAATGTTTGTTATTTTGAGAAATGAAAAAGTTAATGTGGAGGAGCCAGCCACCCGCTATAAAAAAGTGGCGACAGATAACCCTAGTACCCCATTTTCCAACATTATCATTACCTAACAAACAATAAATACAATTCTATTGAGGTTTTGGTGAGGTCAAACATTCTGTGAAGATTTTGTCAATCGTTTACTTTAGATCCTCTCGTAAAAAGTTGATTCAACTCTTTAATGTGAGGGATATAGGTCACTAGAACCTCCTCTCAGTCCCCTGCTGGCCCCTGGCCCACACTATGGAAGCTGCCAGTAATTCATGTGGCCCCCACCAAGTTTGTTTAAGACTTCTGGCCCCGAAATTCCTCCACCCAAGCATTGTGTCATCGACCTCCCCTCCCCCATCTGACAGCTGCTCCTGCATTGCTATCACAAACCGCTCTGATCCTCAATTACGGAAACAATGATAAGTTTGATAAGTACATTATTATAAGAATCTGTTTATAGATTTTCACTTTGCCTATATACCAATCTTTTGTTATTCCCTCAGCCAACAATCGTGCCCTATGAGGATTTTGATGTCGTTGCTGACATCAAGGCCATCCGCAAAGCCTGCAAAGGGTTTGGTAAGATGGAAAGATTGAATTGAATTCTTCTTATGTAACTGTAAGACATTGTTTGTCCTTGTACCGCATCTGTTTTATTTTCTCTATAGGAACTGATGAGCAGGCCATCATTGACATCTTGGCAGACCGCAGTGCAGATCAGCGTCAGGAAATCAAAAACGCATATTTTGAAAAGTATGATGATGTGAGTGTCATTCAGTTATTCACAGAAATGTACCACTTACATTTGTATTTGGAATATTCTGTTTCTGCCCTCTTCCACCAATAACAATGACATTCTCTCTCCCTCTAATAGGAGTTGGTGGATGTGTTGAAGAAGGAGCTGGCAGGGAGCTTTGAGAACGCCGTCCTCGCCATGTTGGACCTGCCCATAGTCTTCGCTGTGAAGGAGCTGAGGAAGGCCATGAAGGGGGCGGGCACTGATGAAGACACCCTGGTGGAGATCCTCTGCACGGCCACCAACGCTGTCAGTCACAAGTCAAAAACAGTTCAACTCATTTATTAATTAATCATCAACAATATGTGTGGCATTATGTCCAAATTATTTTCAGGCCCTATACAATAATTAAATAAGCATATGATGTTTTACTGTAAAATATTCTAGATTTGTGTTCATTCTATATAATTGTTTCCCATAGGACATCGCCATGTTCAAGGAATACTACTTTCAAGGTAAGCCATTTTATACAATTACCTTAGTTTACTTGATGCCACATCCATCACATCCGTTTTGTTGTTATATGTTTTTTAATATTTTATGTAGCTTATTAATCATACTTTGCAGTTGTTTAACCTCTTACCCAATACATCACTTAATGTCACTTTTTCCCTTCCTTGTATTATGAACCCTGGAGGAAATGGCTATGGGTGACTCATTGGGACCTACATAGGGCTAAAGTACAGTACTATTCTGGGACTTTTAGCCGTGTAGTTTTCAGTCACACTTTGTTTAGTCAAGGCCCATCCTGCTGCAGCTTCCTGTTCGACATGATAGCAGTTCTGACAGATGTACCGTAGACTGTAACAAGTGATTTATTCTTTCATTATTTAAGGGTTACTTAGCCCTCAAGTACTCATTCTTTGAAATATACCAAAAATAATAGTTTCTCAATGGCACCTTCTAGTAGGCTATGGTATTCTGAAAAGTAAAAAATGAAGCTAGTGTTTGAGTGGCTGTGGCAGAGAAACGTTTGGTGCTTGTGGTTGCAAGTTAGCTTATCAGGTTGTTTGCTATTTGTCATTAGCTATCATTTTGGCTAACCTTGGTGCTTTGCTGTGGCCAGATACAACATTTAGCATTTTGCTAACCAAGCTAGCCACAATATTTGAAGTTTTTTTTACTGTTTTCTTGTAGACTCCATGTGTTCACTAGAATAAATAACCTGCTGTACCACCTGAGGGGAATTTTATTTTCCTCATGTGATAGTTCCTTACTGGCACTAATGAGTAAACTATTGGCTGCCCTTTATATAGGGAGTAGTAAATAAAGAATCAAAGTTGTAACACAGAACCTAGTCCTTATCCCCTCTTTTGTAAATCCAATAGTTTATTTTGTCAATGTACTGATTCTTCAACAGTACCCTTTGGAATCTTATTGTATTCTGATTTGTAATCATTATTATTATTATTTTTTAAGTTGCTGTACATTCTCAGTTAACATTCCAATTTGGCATCAGTGAAGTGTAAAATATGCTTTCTTGACTCAAAACTGGTAGTCATAAAGGCAGGAATCCATCATTAACGAAGCTAAGAACATCACATGAACATATACTGGTGTTTTAAGAAGGAAATCAGATATACTTTGAACTAAGCTGGTTAAGGGAACATGGGTTCACAAACCAACTTTCATTACAAATGAAACAGAGGTTGCATGCCAAACATGCCAAACTTTTTGGCACGATAGTATCTAGGGCTGGGCTTGTCTAAACACTGAGGCTTAAATTAAACTTGCTTTATTTGATCTTTACTTTACAATGTGTCTTTCAGTGCATGAGCGTGATCTTGAAGCAGATATCGAAGGGGAGACCAGCGGGGACGTAAGAAACCTGCTCACAGCTCTAATGCAGGTAAGAGGCCATGAGTTTCTTCTCCGCTCGAGTAACTAAACTCCTTACGTCTGCTGTAGGACTGAAATTGAGCTCACTCTCCCTTGCCCTAGCAGTCCACACACACACACACACACACACACACACACACCACACACACACACACACACACACACACACACACACACACACACACACACACACACACACACACAAACACACTGGCCACAATCCAGACCCCCTCTCATAAGTGAAACGCAGGCCAGATACAGTTACTGAAGGCCTCAGCAGAAGTCATCTTGCTTTTTTGTCTTCCAGGGCGACAGAGACGAGAGTTACGAGGTGGATGAGGAGTTGGCCGAGTCGGATGCTACCTGCCTGTTTGAGGTACTTCAAATATAATTCATTATATCCTCATGGCAGATTACCGTAACTCATCCTGAATATTATCATTAATATTTTCCGTTTCTGATGCAGGCTGGTGAGGGCTCCTTTGGGACAGATGAGTCCACTTTCAGCTACGTTCTGGCCTCCAGAAATTACCTGCAGCTCCAGGCCACCTTCAAGATATATGAGCAGGTAGGTTAGGGTGTCACTCTGTCCATAGATAGCTGCAGTGATATTGCATATCAGTTTATATGACCTGAAATCTAATCTTCAGCCAGCATGTGAATTGATCCTGGGTGGTGTCTTTACATTACCCTTGAGAAATGTTGTTGCTTCTCATGCACGTGCAGTCAGACTTTTTCTAGGGGCTTTAAACAAGTAGGCACCTTCTATTAGAGGAAATTGTAGACCTGGAAAAAGAAACCACTCATTCCCAGTGCTTTGATTTGACTAGCAATTTTCTCTCCATAGCTTTGTGGAACTGAAATCCTGGATGTCATTGAGAATGAGACTTCAGGGACACTTAAGAAATGCTACAAAGCTCTTGGTAAGTAAATAATACAAAGTGTTAATTGTCAAAATACCCAGTGTATGTCCTGAAATCTGATATCTTAATTATTGTATTTATTTTATTTCCTCCCCACAGTAAGAGTTGCTAAGAACCCTCAGCTCTACTTTGCCAGACGTTTGAACGCTGCGATGAAAGGAGCGGGCACTGACGAGGACACCCTTATTCGCATCATCGTGGTTCGCTCTGAGGTAATTGCATGAAAAGATCAACAAATAAGTACAGATAAATAAATTACTGTCTCTCGTACAGCATATGTGACATTATTTTATTGTATTGCAAAGTTGCAGAATTACTATACTAAGTGCGAACCAAGTTTGGTAAGGGAGAAGAAAAGAATAAGTTAAAAGTGAAAATGAGGGGAATGTAAAAGATGTGTTTTCTTGTTGCCAACAGTATGACTTGGAGACCATCAAAGAAATGTACCTGGAGAAGTACGATGTGTCTCTGAAGGACGCCATAAAGGACGAGTGCGGCGGTGATTTTAAACGTCTCCTCGTGGCCATCTGCCACTAAAAGTCTGAGAGTTAGGCAGGGTGGATTTGGAAAACAGTCAGAGACAACTGTTTATACTGAGGGCGCGGCTGTTTTCTGTCTAACTAACTAACTCAGTCTGTCCATGTGACATTACAGTATGTAGGGAGCAGGAGGGTGAACGTGATAGAATAATCAGCTAATGTGTTGTCTAAAATCTGAGTTACGGTGAATTTGTGTGGCTCTCTTTTAAACTTTTTCAACAATCATTTATACCGAAATTGGCATGAACTCATCTGTCTGTGTCCGTCAATTACTGCCCATTTCTTAGTCAATTTTTTGCTCCAGTTCACTTTGACCAGCATTAACAGTCAGTTAAAGTCACTGTAAACAAGCACCAATGTATACCTTTCCAGGAGCCAACTGTAGTCACACTGATGCAATTACACTACATTTGATCAGGTTGTGTAAGGCTTGATAGAGTGATCACATTGTAAACATGTTTGTACACTGGGAAAAATCTAATCTAGCCTCAGCATTTCTTTCTGCTGCTGCATTTACTAATATAAAAAGACAATAGTGTTACATTATTACCGTTGTTTAAGTATTAATCTGCGTTTGAATCCAATATTTCTTTATTTGTGTTAATCTAAAACTTTCACCCTCTATGCCCCAAACTCAGTGACTTAACTGATGTTACCACTTATGCAATCAGTCCATGTGTTTGTGCTTGTTAAAGAAGAAATTTGCAGAGGAGAATATATATTTTAACAGATGCTTATTGAAAGATACATGTTGCATTTGTATTATCTACAACTAGAAAACACTTGAAAAATCCAAATACACCTCACCTTGTTATGTATATTTTTTTTGTATTTTGCGACTAACAAATATATTATTTAGTTTACTGTTTTAGGTAGGCCAGAGGTTATATGTGAAGAAACCTGTAAGAAGCATTGAACATCTGGACAGTCTGTGTCATTGTGTGTCTATATAAGGCAGCTGAGATCTGTTAAAATGACCACTATTGTAAACATCAACAGGTAGAGTCGTCTGACTAGAGCAGGGGTGTCAAACTCAATTTCATCGTGGTCAACATTAGCATTATGGTTGCACACAAAGGGCCAGTTGTAACTTTAAGACTATATAAATATATAATATATATAAAATAATGTATTATATTACATTATTGAATCTGCATTGGATTATTATCGGATAGGGTAATAACTTCATAATTAACTACGTATGAAGGCAAAAGTCTAGGGCAAATAATTGCAAGTCTCTTCAGTGCGCATGTCACAAAATGAGATGCATTGTGGGACATGTAGTTTATTGGCAACGTGCTTCTGTATAGCGGCCTGTAACCGTATAATAAACTATAAATTATATTATTTGCAAGCTCTTGTGGGCCACATAAAATGAAGTCTCAGGCCGGATTTGGCCCCCGGGCCTTGAGTTTGACACCCCTGGACTAGAGATTGCCCCTCTATAGCCAAATAATTTTAGTAAACGTGCAAATAAAGTTCCCTGTAACACCATCATATCTGTTTTGTTTGACATTCAACTGTGTTTGATACTGTGTTGATAGAAAATATGCATTAAAACCTGAGGCAACCAATAATGTCAATAGGACTTTTCATTATCAGACATACAGTGGCTGTCTGTCAAGTGTACCGTCCAATCAGCCACTGAAGATTATAGACTTCACATTCAATGAAATTACACACCCATAGACTGTTTATATAAAGGACACACCCCCTTTACGCTTGTCACTTTGCTGCCTTCAAGTATTTTGGAAATATGGAAAGTGTAAGATTAAGTTACATGCAAACTCACAAAGTGGGAAATGATCATTATAAACATGATATTTTGTCCGCTCACAGCTGGTGGTTATTACTAGTAGCTGTACGCTTTATTCAAAGACTATCCCAAAACCAAATCAGAACATGTTTACCCTATATTTATCTAGGGATTCAAAAACAGTAGGGTACTTGTGAATGTGCCACTCAAATTACCCAGCTGGTAATCTCTCCCACCTCCATGTGGTATGAATTACAGTTCACACTAAATCACACAAGTTGCAACTTTTTTCTTTCTAAGTAGCTGTAAAATAGTCTAAACAGTCATAATCTAAGAACTCTGTCTTTATAATTTCTTCAAATGTATACATTTGAGGGAATTATTATGATTCTCAATTAAGAACATCTGGTCAGTTCTAGACTAATTGGGGGCCAACAATTTAATGAGGGGCACATTTAATGCATAAAGAAGGAGTTACTTTGTTACTTTGGCCAAAGATAAAGGACATTAAAAGAAGTTTGGGGTAATACATACATTATTTATGCAGTAACTTCCTTATTAAATTACATTACTTAAACGTCCCGGACCGCCCATGCTGGTAACATTAAATTTGTAATTTGCAGTATTGCAACCGGTTCTTTTTAGGCCACTCACATACAGTAAGATGGTACAATTTTTTTGTAGAGTCCCTGGGCCCTTCTCACTTCGGTTAAATGGATTCCTTGCGTCGTTTCCCTGCGACTAGTCCCTCCCACCAGGGAAGCATGGAGGGACGCAAGGAAACCACGAGAAGCAGGGAAATGAGTTTTAAGAGCAATGGGACGTCCTTTCCTCCGGGGCGTCACGTGAAGCGACGTCCGTTTGTGATGACGCTGCACAGCTGATCGTCTGACAGCAGCTCTGTCCCCGTTATTTTCACACACACCCCCGCCTCTGTTAGTACACATTTACTGACACAAACATTTGTATCATCTGTTGTAGACCCAAATAAATTAAATTAAATATGAACTCATTCTCAAAAAAGATAAACGCCATTCTTAAAATGTATAAACGAACAATAGTTAGATTAATATTGATTAGAGTGCACAATAGAAATAAAATAATTGAGAGAAGAAAAAGAGATATGTTATCTATCAAAACCCAGTTAGATTAACATTCATTGGATTGCACACTTCGTTTGTTTGTTTGGATATGTAGCAAATTAACATTTTAAATAGCACTTAATGACTGACTGAATGGAAATGACAATAAATGAAAATGTAAAACGAAAAAAGCGATCATGAAAATGTTTCCAAAAAATGAATAAAATGATTTTTGACCACTTTGTTGTTCAGATATATCACATATTTGTAACTAAATGATACATGAATTGAAACAAAACACGGTATAAACTGAGGAGTGACTCTCGTGAGGTTCATGTATTTTTCTTCACTCCGCTGGGAAACTGCTCTCATGTCAAGAAGCATCAGATCAGTGCATGCACTGCCTCGTCCAATCAGTGAGCGATACACAGTAAGGGGGCGGGGCGAGTGTCTGAGGATTTCATCGAAGGATGGTCTGGTGGTTCCTCGCTTATAGCTTCTCCATTATCGCTCCTCGGTCCTCGGTCCTCCGGCAAAAATAAGGCCATTGGGACGCTACTCAAGATGGCGCAGACAAATTATCTTCCGGTGAGACCGAGGAGCGAGGAAATGAAAAATAAGAGAAGTGAGAAGGGCCCCCTGAATGCAGCGTTGCATGCTATGGTTACGTCAGTGCGTCAGTGCTCTCTCTGGCCCCGCCCCTTTCTCAGAAATGCATGTTGTATTGTTGGCTGGATTTTTCTCGTCTGTTTATATTTTCGAAAAACGGTGCACTTAATACAAAGTGAGACGTCAGCGTACAGCAGCACAAACACAGACACACATCGAACACCGTTTTTAACCGCTGGACCTTGAAGGTACGTTCTCCTCTTCTCACCGGCTTTGTTGCTCCCTTTTACCCCTATTGCTTGTTATTACAGTCATTACTAGCATCCATCTTGGTAAAAGCTCATTAAATCCCCCTACTAATCCTGCTGACTTTCCGCTGCATTATCGAATTGAATTAGTATTTGTGCCCCATGTGCAAAAATGTGAAAGTCCAATATATATGTGATCATTCCAAGAGTAATTTAATGCATTGTGTCAGGTGTTAAGACCAGATGAATCACTGCCGCGTGATGTGTTCAGGTGCTGCAACTTGCACATGTAGTCCATCATCATCTCCATGGAGACGTTAAGTACAAACAGTCATGTCCACTTCCTGCAACAAAAACAAGTACTGCTCTTCATTAATCTGTTCTACCATTGAATATATTGTATAGGTATCAAGCACCTGAATGCACCAACCCTTATATTTGTGGATATTGTGCATCCAATGACTATATAAGGCAACAACTTATAATACGGTTACAAACATCAAATAATGTGATTTATGACATTATCAGGAATTCCTCTTGCTCACCATTAAGAAGTCACTATGCAATAATATGATAATTGGCACTTGAGATTCGAATAACTATGAAAAAGCCTTCCAATTGTTTTTATTTTTTAAATAAAACGTATTTCTGTATTACATGGCCTTTATATAATCATTTCAAACTTAAATAATCACTGATATAGTACGTTTAACCCACAGCACCACGCCTTCATTTCTTCTTTTTTATTGTAAAATCTTATAATTACAAGGTCCTTATTTCATAAAATATCTAATAATTACGAGATCCTTATCTTGATATAAGATTAAGATCTCATAATTGCAGGATTTGTATCTTGTTGCTATAGAAACAGCTTTAGTTCAAGTTTAATGTGTGCTAACTATTGACACAAACATTGCTCCTGCTAGAAGCCTGTGTTAATGCTTCTCTCTGCAAGTGTGATGTGAGCTGTAGGGACAGCCAGGCAGGCAATGATTTCATACTTCATCATTAAAACATCGGGATTTTTATATATATAAAACTATATTCAAAAAACGTTAAAATGAAGGAAATATGCAATTAAAAATAGGACCATTATCCCCTCTGTGATGCCCCTGTGGGTTCATCTTGAGAAGGTGTGGCTGTGCTGCATCCAGCCGCCTTAACTCAGGGCACCCGGGTTGCATTCCAATAGTCCATTTAGTTTAGGAACCTTCCTAACGGAGTGAAATTACCCGGAAGTACGTCACTGGCAGCCATGATAAGTGCCGTTCCAATTCTCCAAATGAAAGGAAAGGAGGTTTCAAACTTCCTTTATAACCTCCTTTAGCTTAGGAACCACTGGACCTCCCTAACCGAAAGGAGAGGAGAAAATGCTGCCCCACAATGCATTGCAGCCGCAGCATTTGCCATCACAACAGTCGGCCGTTCACGGAAACAACCGATTATAACCGAGAAATTATATCATGAAAGTTACGGTGCTTATTAAGCATTTTAAAACGTATGTGGTAAGTTGCCAAAGTGCTTTTTCTGAACGTTCATCAGTATTATAATCAAAAAGAGAAATATGAACGTTAGTTTTTACTGAAATGATCAAATAAAGTCAACATTTCACAGTCTTTACTGAGCTGTGTGGAGTTTGTTCAACTTTTAAAAGATGTTTGAATGGTGATATACACACTGATAGATGTTAAGGACTAACGTTTATAATAAATACATTTGTATTGATTTTAAGATATTTTCATAGTTCATACAATCATACGTATTGGGATCATTTGTATTAATGTGGACCGGAGGGAGAGGGTGACGAGCATAAGTTTCACTTTCCTTTTTTATTTCAATTCCAACTTTGGTCATGAAGAATATGTTTCTCTGTTGTCCATGTTCATAAAGCATAAAACAACAGCACCAGAGCACGGTGCAGAGTCTCGAGATGAGTTTACAGTAGTCCCTCGTTCTTATTAAACATCCATGTTGTAGTCCGCTGTATAGAAAACTGTAGTTTCCATAGTTTCCCCACAGCAGCAGACGCACATTCATGACGTCCGCTGGCGCATCATAAACACGTCGGTTAGTGAAAGTGCATTCGGATTCTCTAAAGTACCGCAGTCTCTTCTCCTAAATCCTTTTGAATTCTCCTATCCACTATCCCTTAACCCCGTGACGTTTCACTCAGAGGTCAAGGAATAGGAGATAGGGTTAGAATTTAGGAGCTGATTTTTGGATTATCGGAACGCAACCCTGTAGTTTCCATAGTTTCCCCACAGCAGCAGACGCACATTCATGACGTCCGCTCGCGCATCATAAACACGTCGGTTAGTGAAAGTGCATTCGGATTCTCTAAAGTACCGCAGTCTCTTCTCCTAAATCCTTTTGAATTCTCCTATCCACTATCCCTTAACCCCGTGACGTTTCACTCAGAGGTCAAGGAATAGGAGATAGGGTTAGAATTTAGGAGCTGATTTTTGGATTATCGGAACGCAACCCTGTAGTTTCCATAGTTTCCCCACAGCAGCAGACGCACATTCATGACGTCCGCTCGCGCATCATAAACACGTCGGTTAGTGAAAGTGCATTCGGATTCTCTAAAGTACCGCAGTCTCTTCTCCTAAATCCTTTTGAATTCTCCTATCCACTATCCCTTAACCCCGTGACGTTTCACTCAGAGGTCAAGGAATAGGAGATAGGGTTAGAATTTAGGAGCTGATTTTTGGATTATCGGAACGCAACCCTGTAGTTTCCATAGTTTCCCCACAGCAGCAGACGCACATTCATGACGTCCGCTGGCGCATCATAAACACGTCGGATAGTGAAAGTGCATTCGGATTCTCTAAAGTGCCCGGTCTCTTCTCCTAAGTCCTTTTGAATTCTCCTATCCACTA